GTCCATATCTTTCCTCATCGCCAACTCCACGCACTCTTCCTGAGCTCTGAACTCGGCTGGAGCTGGCCTCCAGCAATGTAATGCTTACATATTTCTGTGGGGTCCAGTGGATTATTTCACACATGTACACAGTATAAACAGATTAGATTTGGTAGTTGGCATTCCTATTTCCTGTTATCTTTTATTTTTTTTTTAAAAAAAGGTTTAATGGTTTTATTTGAAAGGCAGATTTATAGAGAGAAGGAGAGAAAGGTCGACCACCTGCTGGTTCACTCCCCAAATGGCCACAATAGCTGGAGCCAGGTCAGTCTGAAGCCAGGAGTATTTCCTAGACCTCCCCCATAGGTGCAGGTGCCCAAAGAATTGAACCTTTTCCCACTGTTCTCCCAGGCACATTAGCATGGAGCTGGAAGAGAAGTGGAACAGTCGGAACTTGAACTGGTGCCCCTGTGAGATGCTGCTTTTGCAGGTGGTGACCTAACTCATTATACCACAATACAAGCCCCCCTTAAGATGCTAATATCTCCTCAGATAATTTTGTTTGGCTTGAATCTGATTTGAGGCTTTTGATTTTTTCTTATTTAGATATTTATATCTTTCCCTATATTTGCAAAGCCTTTCTACTATTTGGTTAAATAAAATTTTAACCTGTTACCTCTCCTCTTAAAATCCTGAGTTGGATATTTTCCTTTTTCGTACTGTCCCAGAAGTCTTATTAGTTTTTTTTTTCATTTCCTTTTCACTCTTTTTCTCTGGTGACTGTGTTTGAAAAAACAAAAACAAAGCAAAACAACCCTAATTCTTTGTTCAGCTTGACCAATTATAAGGTTGTTGCCTTCTATTATATTTTTCATTTTATTCATTGTACTTTTCAGCTCTAGATTTTCTGTTGACTTTTTTTTCCCCCTACATTTTTAAAAACATAAAGAGAACAAAGTTTATTTGTTGCACAGGTAAAGTTCCAAGGAGACAGTCACACTTCCTTTGCCCTCCCCCAGTACCTCACCTCCGCTTCCTTCTCTTCTTCTTCAGCAGTATTTGCACAGGCATAATTTTAATCCACTCTATATTCACAGGTTTAATTTGCCACTAATAATATTCAACAAGTAAAAAGAACACAAGACCACATTTCCACTAGAGTATAAACACTGGTTAAAAATGACAGACATATGCAGTAACCATTTCATTCCTATATTTTGCGTGTATGTTCTCTATTAGCTGCTACATAAAAAAAAACCCAACAACAACAACAAACAGACAGACTGTCTGGCTTCCAGTTTCATCCATTTTGTTGCAAAATGAATTTGATTCTTTTATTCACGGTTGTAATATTCCATTATGTATATATATATTGGAATTATATTCCATTATTTTATATATATATATAACATTTTATTAATTATGATAAGCATCTGGGTTAATTCCACATTTTAACTATTTTGAGTTGAGCTGCAATAAAAATGATTGTATAAATGACTCTTCTTATAAGTGATTTAATTTAATTTACACATATTCCCAGGAATAGAATGGCTGGGTCATATGGTATATCTACTTTCAAATCTCTAGGAATCTCTACTGTCTTCCATCCATAATGGTTGCATTACTTTTTATTCCCATCGACAGTGGACTAAGGTACCTTTTTCCTACATCCAATCAGGATTTATTATTTTTTTAAATTTTCAGATGATAGCTATATCAACCATTCTGACTGGGGTGAGGTGAAACCTAACTGTGATTCTTCTTTGTATTTCTCTAATGGCTGGTGAACCTGAGCATTTTCTCATGTGTCTGTTGGCTCTTTGTATTTCATTCTTTGAAAAGTGACTGATTATGTTCTTTACCCATATCTTAACTGGACTGTTTAGTTTGTTGTTGTTGAGTTTTTTAGTTTATTTGTGATCCTGAATATTAATCCTTTGCCAGCTATATATTTTGCTAATTTGAAGCTTTTTAGTTTGGTGTAATTCCATTTGTCTATTTTTGCTTTAATTGCTTTTGCTGCTAGGATCTTTTCTGAGAATTTTTTGTCTATGCCTGTGTCTTAAATAGTTTCCTCTAGCAATTTGATTGTAGGTAATAAACAAACAGCAGAAATCTCAGCAGAAAGCCTGTAGAATGGAATTACATATTAAAGGTCTTGACGAAAGAAACTTCCAACCAAAAATACTATATCCAGTGAAGCTTTGCTTTAGAAGTGAAAGGGAAATAAAAATATTTTCAAGACAAGCAAAACTGATAGAATTCATCACTACCAGACCAGTCTTACAAGGCCTGGAGAGTTAGAAGTAAAACCATGGGTCAGTACAGTGGCAAGGCAGACTATTCCTATGACTCCAGCATCCCCTATGGGTGCTGGTTCTTCTCCTGTCTGCTCCATTTCTGATCTAGCATCCTGGTAATAGCCTGGGAAAGCAGCAGAGGATTACCCAAGGCCTTGGGCCCCTGCACCCACATGGGAGGCCCAGAAGAAGCTCTTGGCTTACAGATTTGAACTGGTCCAGCTCTGGCCTTTGCAGTCATTTAGGGAGTGAACCAGAGGATGGAAGAACTCTGTCTCTCCCCTCTCTTCCTCTCTGTAATTCTGACTTTCAAGTAAAATAAATATATTTTTTAAGTAAAAGGATCATAACAGCCATCATGAAGATATGATAATACATTTACTAATAAAAAAGATACATAAAAGATATTCCAACCTTTGGGTAGATTGGCTCAGGTCATGGGGTCCACATGTGTGGTGCAGGATGGTTTCCTGAGCTCCAGGGACAGGGGGAACTGGTGTGGTGTGGGTCACTTGACCCAGATCATGGTGCCCACCTCCTAGGTAGATATTGGCTCCTTGAACCCTGAGGTGGGGAATCTGGCAGAGCCTTGGTCTCCTGGTCCGGGTCTCAGGGCCGGCATAATAGGTAGGTGTCAGGTTTGTGAACCCCAGGGGTGGGGGATCTCGTGATGCTTGAGACACCTGGCCCAGCTTCATGGACTCACCTGCAAGAACATGCCCTACTTGATGAAAAAGTAGGCCCTGATATAAAAGAGATTAAGGCAGCACATTTGGTGCTGCAGCAGAACAACTTACTGGATAACAACCCCAAGCAATCGAAGACAACAAATAATTTTGGTGAATGGGAGGGTGACACCATCCTTGGATCGGTGAAATCGGCGGCATTGCAGAACTATTCAAACCACCTGGACCGAACCCTCAGAATATGCACACATTGAGACTCTGGGTTGATATGAGGTAGAGGTTCCTTATCCCTGCGTATTGGGACGTGTGGAAAGTCATGAGTGGTTTTCCCCTTTATTTTTCCCCTTTCCCCAGGAACAAGAAGAAATGGCAAATTTGAAAGCAATGAATTCACCCAATTTTTCCTAAACCTTGATCCTTCCTACCCTGATCAACCATGTAATAATTATTCTTAAAAATAAAATTTAAAAATTAAAAAAAGATGTTCCAACCTTATACTGAAAATGTACTAAACACAATGGTAAATAATGAGAGGCAGAAAGAAACAATGTATAAAATAGTCAATAATTAATCATCATATGACATGAGTTAATTTTTTATCAATTAATGCTTTCCTTTAATGTAAACAGAAATTCCCCCAAAGATATAGGTTGGCTAAAAGGCTGAAAAAACAAGACCTACCTATCCAACTATCTGCCTAAAAGAATCACTTTACAGGTAAACATACATGGATTGAAAATAAAGGGTTATAAAAATACATATGCAAATGGAAAGCAAAAGTGAGCAGGAGTAGCTCATTCTGGATGCAGGTAACTTAGAACTAAGATATGTCTGCCTCCAGTTCCAACCCAGAGTTCCAACAAGTGGGACCAGAGCAACACCTGAGACATTGTAATAAAACTGGCTTGCTTCTTGAACTCAGGAAAACGCTACCCCTCACCATGATAGTGACCCAGAAAACTGGACTCCAGCACGCCTCTGGAATTGGACCAGCACGGAATCTGAATGTCAGGAATAGTGAGAGAGAAATAGGGCAGAAACCATTAGTTCAGAAATTGATTTTAAAAATCTTAATGTGAATGGGAAACTTCATCCTAGGGAATCACCCAGCAAGGTGAGAGAACAATTTCCTGGATTTTCCTGTGGTTTCCTGCATTTGTTTTACCGTGCTTTAGATATGGTTGGAGTGTGTCCTTCGGGGGCCAAGGTGCTGCAGGCCTGGTCCCCTGTCACGAGGTTCTCTCCAGAGCTGACCTAACACTGTCTTGCCTTTGAACTTGCAAACTGCGATCCCAGTAATCCTCCATTCTTCATAAAGCACCCAGCTGCGGGCACTTCACCATGATAACAGAAAACAGCTTCATAAACGCAATACTTTATTTCTTTGTGTTCTCATTCACAAGCATTTAACTCTTGAGAGAATGAAGTCCCGGCCCTGGAAGGAACAGAGCAGTCCCAGGGACCAGTTCTCCTGTTCCAGGGACCAGTTCTCCAGTCTCAGCTTGCTGCACCAGCCACTTCTCAGGCCGGCTTCTCAAGAGGGCTGCACCTCTGGAGCAAAGAGAGAATCAGGGTGCCTGCTGGGTGGAGACAAGCAGTCGGGGAAGGTGCTGGGCCATGGGGAACGTTTGGGGTGTGCAGCCAGGGAGCCAGGGACTGAGGGACAGAGTTTGGGGCAACATCCTAAGGAACGACCAAGTCAAGTGGGAAGAGCAGAGCGCCTTGTTATCTATCACCCACCCGCACGAGAAGGGCCAGCAGGAAGCGACCCTACTAAAGCTCAAGAACCACTCTGGGGCTCAGAAACAATCTTATCCAAATGTCCCCTTACACGAGGGTGTCTCAACGCCCAGCTGGGGGCCCCTCAGGCCTCCCTCCTCTCACTGTCCCCGGGGCTTTCTGTGCCACCCACTGGACAAGCTCTGCCCACTCGCAGCGGGTCCAGCGGGTTCCCCGCCCGGGCACAGGCCGTCCTTGGCGCACGCATGGCTGGGCGCGCGGTGTTTGCGCAACGCGGCAGGTGCGGCCCCTCACCTCAGTCCAGCGTCTGCCAGGGTTCCACACACTGGTGCCGGCACTTGTAGAAGCAGCACTTCTTGGCCCCGTTGCAGCCTTGGTCGCGCCGACACGAAGGGAACAAGATGAATGGACATTCAGGATAGAATTCCGGACAAAACCCGGGCTTCGGGTCAACTGCAGGAAAACAGGGCGAGGTGAGGCGGGGCGGTGGGCTCCGGGACGAAGCAGAAACCCTACGTGGCCTACCTGCTCTCCTCATGACCCCAGGCTGGGCACTGTGGAGGCAGAGGAGGACACCCACGGCGAGCAGGGAGAGGCAGCACTGCTTCATGGCGCAGGTGAACCCCGAGCTATGGCCCAACGGTCCATCTGGCGTCAGGGGCTCCCTGGCCAGAGGAAGTGCCCGCCTTTGAGCCGGAAATACCTGCTGTCCATTCTCCAGGCCAACCAGGAGGAGACCCTGGGAAATGGCCCCAGGGTGGGCTGCTCCGTGGACTAGCTAGTCCCTGCGGCATGCAGTGAATTTTGAGGCTATCATAGGTGGATTTTAAACAACTGAAGTGATTTCACATTTATTCTTAAATAATTCACCTTTGATGTAGCAGAGAGACACCTTTACAACATCATTTAAAATTGAATCACGTACACAGAATTGTAAATATCAAATTGTACTGAAAGATTACAATAAGTAGCTCCTTAGTTTTTACGTTTTTATTTTCCTGATTTTAAACCAAGTATCACATTACTAACGATTCATCTCCCCCACCCCCGAAGATTACCATCCCATTTCCTGAATAATAGAGGCTGTGGATATTTTTAAAGATTTATTTTTATTATTTTTTCCTTGGAAAGGCGGATATACAGAGAGGAGAGACAGAGAGGAAGATCTTCCATCCAATGATTCACTCCCCAAGTGAGCGCAACGGGCCGATACTATGCCGATCCGAAGCCAGGAGCCTCTTCCGGGTCTCCCACGTGGGTGCAGGTTCCCAAAGCTTTGGGCTGTCCTCGACTGCTTTCCCGGGCCACAGGCAGGGAGCTGGAAGGGAAGCGGGGCTGCCGGGATTAGAACTGGCGCCCATATGGGATCCCGGGCGTGCAATGCGAGGACCTTTAACCAATTGCGCCACTGCGCCGGGCCCCTGTGGATATTTTTAAACCTTTCAAAAGTTCACAAAATTTCTATGGTTATATGTAGTATTTTTGAAATATACAGCAAAAGGACTAAATCCAATGAATTACTGCATCTTACCTCAAAATATTTTCTTAAATTGTGTTGACAGAACTTAAAAATCTACTCTTTCAGCATTTTTTAATAAAATTGTGTTGTTAACTTTACTCATATTATACATCTCTTGAATATATTCCTTCTCTGCATTTTTATTTTATTTTAAAGATTTTATTTTTATTTATTTATTTATTTTAAAATAATAATTGTTGGGCCCGGCGTGGTGGCGCAGGTGGTTAAAGGTCCTCGCATTGCACGCCCGGGATCCCATATGGGCGCCAGTTCTAATCCCGGCAGCCCCGCTTCCCTTCCAGCTCCCTGCCTGTGGCCTGGGAAAGCAGTTGAGGACAGCCCAAAGCTTTGGGACCCTGCACCCGTGTGGGAGACCCGGAAGAGGCTCCTGGCTTCGGACCGGCATAGTATCGGCCCGTTGCGCTCACTTGGGGAGTGAATCATGGGACAGAAGATCTTCCTCTCTGTCTCTCCTCTCTGTATATCTGCCTTTCCAATGAAAAAATAATAAAAATAAATCTTTAAAAAATAATGATAATAATAATAATTGTTTTTATTTTGTCAATCTTTACATAGTTAATTTGGGCAAAAAGGGTCAAGGGCTACAGGAAAGTGGGTAAGACTATTATTTCCATATTGTTTCCTTCATATATCTGAGGTAGAGGGGGATGTTGAGGGAGAAGCCCCACCCGGTTTCCCACCCACCCCAAGTCCCGCATGTGGGGCATGCTCCGAGATGCTCGTTGAAGTGGTTTCAATAGGTCACCAGTTTTGAAATTGCTGCCAATCTTGCCTCTCCAAACACGATGAGGTTGTTGAAAAATCCATTAATTGACATTGTCCATCATAACGTCTCTATTTGCTCGGTATTTTGTTGCCAACCTATAGCTGAGGTGGTTGATTAACTTGTTCCATCTTCTGGCCCTTCATGGTTTGGGTTCTGAGTCTGGCATTTCAATTGGGGAAATCACCAAAGAAACTTCGTCTGAGGTCTTCCCAGGCCAGAGACTTGTATGCACCAGCAAGCACAGGGCCCAGCACAGTCCATCACCCGGTCAGCTGGTAGTTGCAATTGCTGGGTTGGTTCTGTTTTCAGCCCTGCCTTCTACTGGAACCAATGGGTGTTGCAGTCCAGCCTGGTCCTGCACAGCACATACTCGGTCTTCACCGAAACCAGTGGGAGCTGCATCCTGATGAGAGCGGCCCACAATAACCCCCACCAGGCCCACCCCCTACCCTGGTTTGCCAATATGTGTGGCAGACCAGTCCAATAAAGATTTTATTTTTATTACAAAGTCAGATATACAGAGAGGAGGAGACACAGAGAGGAAGATCTTCCATCCAATGATTCACTCCCCAAGTGAGCACAATGGCCGATGCTATGCCGATCCGAAGCCAGGATCCAGGAACTTCTTCCAGGTATCCCACATGGGTGCAGGGGCCCAAAGCTTTGGGCGGTCCTTGACTGCTTTCCCAGGCCACAAGCAAGGAGCTGGATGGGAAGTGGAGCTGCCGGGATTAGAACCGGCGCCCATATGGGATCCCGGGCGTGTTGAAGGCGAGGACTTGGTTCCAGGCCCAGCATCAAGCAGTATTAAGGAACCTAAAACAAATGGACACTTGGATCAAAGGAATTGTTTCCATGGGCTCTCTGCATATTGTGAATCTAGTATGTGTTTGAGTTGCCAATTTTCTTTGAAAGCTATATATAAATGGAAAACAGGGACAATTTTAAGTATCAGTGGACATACATGGTCAGACATTAATTCAAATCATTGACATTATATTTGAAATGATTTGGCCAAGTCAGCTAGTTCCATTCAGCTCTAGAATGATTCTGGTCTGGGCATTAAGGAACCAATTCTGGTCTGGCCCTGACTTACTGAGAGAAATTGAAATTTTTATTTCTGTCTTAAAGGGCTGTACTGTTAAGATAAAGCAGGAGTGCTCGCTTCGGCAGCACATATACTGAAAGATAAAGCAGGGAAGGGGACATTTGGATGAAAGTTATCCCAGATCTATCAGTACTTAAATAACAGCCTGATAAATAACATACAGCAAGGATTTCTTTCTTTCTTTCTTTCTTTCTTTCTTTCTTTCTTTCTTTCTTTCTTTCTTTCTTTCTTTCTTTCTTTCTTTCTTTCTTTCTTTCTAGTGGAACTGCAGGAAATGGCTTCTAGGAGACATTGAGGGAGCTGGCAGCCACTTATGACCCAGTTGATTTAAAAGATAGAAGTGAATTTAAAAAGATTAACATAATTTAAAGGGAGAATTTCCCCCAAGATGTCGTTTGCAGCAGTTCAGCTGTGAAGGGGGAAAAGTGATGTTTGGGGTTCCCTCACTTCAGAAGATAACCATCAGAGCCAGAGGAATCACAGCACTTCGCCGATACATAGAAAACTTCTGTCAGACTGACATAAAAGGATGGCAATAAACTAGGAATGAAATACAGGTCAGTGTCCTCAGAATGAACATGAAGCTATAAAAAATAGTCTTCAGGACTCTCGTGTAATCAGCACTATCATACTAGCCCACATATCGAATCAATGGGGGTGTCCATTCACAGATGAATGCATACAGGAGATGTGCTATACATAACGGAAGATTATCTAGCCATAAGCAAAGGAGGGGAAGGAAGTGAAGATGCCGCTTAGGATCTGCCTCCTGCATTGGAGTGCCTGGCTTTGAGTCTCAGCTCTGCTTCCAATCTCTGCTTCTTGCTAAAGCACCCTCAGAGAGATAGCAGGTGTTCAAGTTCAAGAACATGGGTCGCTGACATCCACGTGGAAGACTCTGAGTCAGACTTTGGCCTTCAGCCTGGGTCAGCTCAGCCCTTGTAAGCATTTGGGTAGCAAACCAGAAGATGGAATCAATCAGTCAATCAGTCTCTCTTTTTCTTCCCTTCTCTTTCGACTCTGCCTCTCTCCCTTTAAAATAAAATGAAAATAAAATTTTTTTTCTGTCATTTGCAGTATAAGGATATAATTGGGGACATTATACTATGCGAAATAAGCAAGATATAGAAAGATAAATGCTGTATGTTGTCATTCGGATGTGGAAGTAAAAAGTTGGGTTCATGGAAGTCCAGAAGAGTGATCATTACAGTCTAGGAGAGGCTGGAGCGGGGAGCGGAGAGCAGGAGAGCCTGGAAGACGAGTACCGAAATACGGATGGAGGGCATCCACTCATGTTGACATGGGATGACTAGAGTGCACAACAGTCCTTCACGTGCGTTGTGAAGAGCTAGAAAAGGGAAGTTTGAAACCTCCCAACACAGAGAGCAGTGAGTGTTTAAGGAGAGGGAAATGCTAAATGAGCCTGATTCGGTTATTATAGGTTATAGACGTGGTTTGATTTGTCCATTTTACCCTGTAATTATGTACAGTTATTATTCTATTTGGCAAACACAATGTGCCCAGTAGGAAAAAAAAAAAGAAAGTAAAACCTACAGAGAAATATTGCAAAAATTTCTGAATTATTTATAAGAATTAAATGAGAAACCCTTTCCCCACCCCCACTTCTGAGACATGCCATGGAAAAAGAGCTTCAAGACTCCACTCGGAGGTGAATATGCTTTAAGCATTTGAGGATATTTGGGAAAACTATTTTGAATAAAAATTTCAAATGGTAAAGACAAACTTTCACAGAAATAATGGATAAATATTAAAAAGGGAATTGGATTTAGGAAAGATAAAATTATCTTGGAACTGAATAAATTTGGAAGGCCTGGGAGAGTACAGATTCAAATAAAAATTCAACACAGGAAATTCAAAAGGATAGAAGCGGTATAAAGAAGTGAAAAAGGGCCAGAGAGAAAGTGGGAATGTTAGACAAATAAGAAAGGATTATCAAATATTTGAGTTTATGAAGAAGAAAAACAAAACAATAGGATGAGAAACTTTTAAATTAAAATTTAAAAGAAAAATCTAAATATACATATTGAAATGTATCCCAGTAAGGACATTAAACCCAAACTCTGAGATGTACTCTAGTAAAATTATAATATTTGAAAAAAAAAAACCCTTAAGGCCTCTAGGCAAAAATAGCAAACAAGTCACAAAGGCATAAGAATTAGACAAGTACCTGGTCAG